CGTCTCAAAAATAAAATAAAATAAATAAAGCAGATCTCAGTTATTTTAAATCTGGCTCATCTTCTGAATACATCACATGTCAGATGTCTTGTTCTCTAGATCTCTGAAATGTGGTCTGAAATGGCAGGATTTGAAGAGGATGCAGGTGTGGAGGGGAAAGAGACAGACCAGAAGGGAATTACCTCCTGGTGGAACAGCCACTGCAGATACTTTTGAAGAATCCAGAAAGTGCCTGTGGGCAGAAGTTGAGGTCAAGATACCAGGGGACAGTAAAGAGGGGTCATCTATGATACCTCTAGTCCCTTGCGCCCACCCCTTTCTCCAGCACTACCCTCGCACTGCCAGATTTCCCTTAACCAGGTGGACCCCCTGAAGCCATCTGGAGGACTGAGATCAGCTCACCACCAACCCGACAATCATTTTGGATTTCAGAAGATCTTCTCAGCCAGCTGCTAGAAAGAAATGTAATTAGATGAGAAAAGTGATTCACATTAAAGTGTGGATGACTAAGTGTCTTGTCACTCCTAATGAACGCTGGCATTTTAAAATAAGTTTGCCTAAAAGAAATCTCTCATTTGGGGAGGCGTTGGCCAAATCTTTTTTATATAGGGGAGGCTTTGGAAGTGAAAGTCCTCCGAAGTGCTCATTGTCTACTTCAGAAGGCCACTTCCTTCTCTCTGCCCCACCCTTGCCCTATTCCCCAGGCGCTGGGCCAGCGCAGGGCTCGCTTCTGAAGCGTTGCCGGGCAAGGCTGAGCATTTTCAGAGCAGCCATTAGATGGCGCTGGCAGCCAGTGACTGGCCCAGGGGCGCTTCTGCCAAAGGGGCAACTGAACAAGCTTTGGTCCTCTCCTGGCTCCAAGAGACAGGCTGTTCCCATTGTAGCCTGCCAGTGATCCAGTTAAAGTACACAGTCCGAACTTGGTGGACCAGGCAATTAGATTAAAGCTCCAAGTTGACTGTAGCACATTTAGCTCTGAAAAATGCCCAGATGTTACAGTCACAGAAAAATGGTAGTTACATATGTCACCAAATGCAAATGTAAAGTAACATATTAGTAGAGGAAAAAAATAAAATCATACAGGTCTAATGGTTCCCTCAACTATATTTCAATTGTCGCCAAAGATAACTACTCTGGAGTGATTTCCATTTGCTAGAAGCAATGACTTCAGGCCTTCCTGGAAAGCCCCAGAGAGCATTTCCCCTCCTTATGCCCTATGGGCTGTGTTGTACAATTTGGTAACATATTCACTCCCACCCTCTCAGAGCTTATATTCTGATGATGCTCAACCGTTAGATGGCTGCTATTGCTAAAGTTTCAGATTCCTTCCTGAAAGATGGTTTTGTGTTTGCATTGTATATTTTGCTTATGTATATGTGTATTTGCTTATGTGTATTTTCAGTTTTCTACAATGAACAAATATTACCTTTTTGTGTCATTTTCTTAAAGCAACAAATTATTGGGGAAATATCAAATGTTGTGCTTTTTAAAGTAGGGCAAGTATTATAATCCAAAAATGGAAAGCTCTGGAAAAATAGAAACTTGCAATTTGCTCATCCAAAGATTAACTTTGTAGTAGAACTACACTTATTAGAACTTCATAGGTGTGAGCTCAACAAATCATTTTGTTTGTTACTCTAAAACTGTACGCTAGCCTTGCCCTTCTGTAAAGATTAGAGGAGCACAGGGGCGGAATTTTGTCCTCACACCATGACATACATGCATCGAGTCCTAAAACAAAAGTTTCAAAGGAATATTAAGTCATTAAAGTGGCCATAATCTGGGCATAACTTATAAACTGACAAAAAAAAAATCCACACACACTTTTGTTTGCCTTGGCTCCTTCCAGCCGTTCTGTAATAACCCTTCCTGCCCCATTTAAACACGAAGAATTTGGGGAATCCAAATGCCAAATGGACTGTCTCTCCTTCACTGGAAACGCCCCTTACCTGAGCCTTGATCATTCCAAATGGCTGCCTGCGCCCTGAACCCAGGGTCTGCGCCATAAACGGTCCGCCCCTGGTTCTGTTGAGGGCATCCGAAACTGGACAGTGCATTTCAGGACCTAGGACAGCTCCCGCCCGGCCACCTGTTTTTAACCCCAGCTAGGTCTTGGAGAGAAGAGACCCAACTATTCTGTATTGTAATTGACCCAGGAATTTATCATAGCGCGGCCACCTCAGGTGCGCTAAGGTGGGCAGGGAAACAAGGATTCAGGGGTCTGAATCCAAAAAAATCTGGAAGGTAGGGCGTTCACTATGACTTTTATCCTTTTCTTTGCTGCCCCGTTTCCAACATTAAATTGTGAGAGCGTGTATGAAATTTGACTTTTAAGAAGTGACATCTATCCTGGAAATTGGGAGCAAGAGATACTAAAAGACTGGGCTGGCCGGGTGCGGTGGCTCACGCCTGTAATCCCAGAACTTTGGGAGGCCAAGGCGGGCGGATCACCTGAGGTCGGGAGTTTGAGACCAGCCTGACCAACATGGAGAAACTCCGTCTCTACTAAAAATACAAAAACTAGCCGGATGTGGTGGCGCATGTCTGTAATCCCAGCTAGTCGGGAGGCTGAGACAGGAGAATCGCTTGAACCCGGGAGGCGGAGGTTGCAGTGAGCCAAGATTGTGCCACTGCCTGTCTCTTATACACATCTAGATGTGTATAAGAGACAGGGGCGGGGACGCTCGGCGGCCTCTCTCGGTCGCTGCTCTTCTATCCCTCCTTCGCCGTCTCTTGGTCCCGCGCTCCTCTGTCCTTATATACTTACCGAGCTCTCCTGGCGGGCGCGGGACCTTGACATTCCCGGCAGCGCACGAGCAACAACCCGGGCCCGAGGAAGGGGGGCCGCGGGGCGTGGGAGGGGGGCTTCCAGACGGGGGAAGAGCGCAGGGGAGACGCGCCCGGAAAGGGGCTGGAATTAGCACTGTCCTGCCGAAGGCGCACCTGAAGCCCGCCCTCAGGAAGAACTTAATTATGGATGGCGCTGGGTCTCCGCTTAGGACGGGCGGGAGGCTTAGCACCCCGGTGTGGGGCAGGCCGGGCAGCCTCTGAGGTCATCGAGGCGAGGGTGAAGTTACCCGCGTGCGTGCTGGGGCTGGCATCTGCCTGGTTCTCATTCGGCGGTAAATATCACCGCAGACGGAATGTGTCCGTCCGCACTCGGGGAGGCCTCTGATTTCCCCACTGTTTGGAAACTGTGATGTGGAAGTTGTGGGGAATCATATTTTCTCTGTTCCACTTTGGGAGGGGAGGAGGGAGCAGAGGTCAGGAGCTGTCTTGGGGGTGTGAAAGTGAACTACACTGCTCCCCCGGGGCCTGCTCTCCAAGGGCCTAGTTTGGGGGAGGCTTCCTTCTGTGCTCCAAGCCTCAAGGAAAAAGTCCTGTTAACCCTAAACCATTAAATAGAGAGAGGGTGATGCTGTGAAGAGCAGCTGAAGTGCTGACAGGGCGGTCTGGGGACTCAGACAATTTTCAACATCCCCCTTGGCCCTGGAGTTCTGGCTTGGCTTTTATTCCAAATGTCAGACCAGAGAGAAGAGGACAGCACTCAAACCAAGCCTAAGAGACCCTACCTTAACCTGGAGTAAATACACAAAACCAAATGTGCGATGTGGTGGGTGTGAGAGGGAGTATTGGGACTAAACTGTACTTCAAATGAAGACACTTGCTTAATCTGCCAAATGCCAGAACTTTCCTGATTCCCCATGAGATGCTCTTTTAGACTCCACCACTCTCTTGTGGATTCAACTTTTCTGGTGACATTGGCTTTACATTCAGCAATCCTTTCCTTTTGGACCACAAGAGAGATCCAAGCTCCTCCACAGTAGACAAGGCGCTTCATCACCCAGCCTTGGCCCCTTTCCAGGGCCATTTCCCAGTTCTCCACCTTGCATCCTGGCACTTCAGCATGCACAAACATTCACACTGCTAGAACGTGGCTTTCCTGGGTCTCCATTGTCCAAACTGTTTCCCCAACTAGAACATCCTTCCTCTCTCCAGCCATCCAGGAGCTTGACTGACATCAAGATGTAGCCCATCCATCGGTCCCTGTTCTCTGAAGCTCTCTTTGGCCACTTTTCCTACCAGGGGCATGAGGTATGACCTCCTCTGACTTCCACAAAAGTCCATCCCCATCTTGTCAGTGCATGTGGCTGTTTTAGTCAGATATGTATTTCTTAAAATTTGTCTATTTAATCTAAATTATTTAATTTATTGGCTTAAAATTATTTATTATATCTTTTAAGCATCTGGGATCTCTAGTTTTGTCCCTTTTCATCTCTGATATTGGTTATTTGTGTGTCCTCTTTTTTCTTGACTAGTTATCTTGTTTTGTTTTGTTTTTTTTTTTTGAGACAGAGTTTCACTTTTGTTGCCCAGGCGGGAGTGCAATGGCGCCATCTCGGCTCACCACAACTTCCGCCTCCCGGGTTCAAGCAATTCTCCTGCTTCAGCCTCACAAGTAGCTGGGATTACAGGCATGTGCCAACACACCCGACTAATTTTTTGTATTTTTAGTAGAGATGAGGTTTCTCCATGTTGGTCATGCTGGTCTCAAACTCCCGACCTCAGGTGATCCACCTGCCTCAGCCTCCCAAAGTGCTGGGATTACAGGCATGAGCCACCGTGCCTGGACTCTTGATTAGTTTTCTTAGGGGGTTATCCACTTTATTAGTCTTTTTAATAATGCATTTTGTTCTGTTAATTTTCTGTACTATATGTACACTTTTTCATATTTCTGACATTTTTACTCTTATTATTTCTTGCCTTCTATGTCTATGGGTTTAATTAGCTATTCTTTTTCTGTACTCATGAGTTGGAAATTAAATAAATACTTTTACTTAGATAATTGATACTGAACCATTTTTTCCCCTCTTTTTTTTTTTTTTTTTTTTTACATT